CCAGCGTCAATGCACCAGCAGCGTCACGTGACTTTCGCTGTCGTCACACTGCCCCTTCCTTAGTGTTGTTCGTTCCAAACAATACCCACTTACATTAAACGAATACATAATTAACAATAACATAATTTACAAACACCAAATTAAAATTAAACAAAGTCTCTTAATTTTACAGGATGTATCTTCCGAACTGGTCTCTGTCTCATTGGCTTCTGCTTCACATATGGTTCATCTGTTCCATCAGGAAATGTTCCATTATCGGTAACAATCCCATCAGTGGTAATAACTTCATTAACATCTTCATTTTTTTCCCTTCTCAAAACTGAGTAGAGTTTCTTCTTCGACAGTTGCTTTTTCAGGTGACACATCTTCAGCAGCGTCATTTGTTCTGTTGTTCACTTTGTTCCAACTGAAATGTCCTGGACCGTGATAACACCAAAGCCTGATGGCATGCACCACCTTTGGCTTACCTCGCCGATCACATTTTATTCGGAAAGTCACGTCTGAGAGTCGATCCACTATGTCAAATAAGCCTTCCCATGGAGAAGACAATTTGGGAAACTTCCCTTTGGTCTTCCTGGGATTATAGAACCACATCTTGTCTCCTGGTAGAAAGCTTATTTCAGTAGATCTCTTATCATAACATAGCTTCATGGAATCAGCAGACGTTTTCAAGTTTGAATGCAGTTGATGGTGAATATCACCCATACTTTCAGATAACACTTTCACGAACTCTGACACATTTTCAGTCAACTCTTCGTAAGGTGGGCGTTCTGTTATCAGATCCACTGGCAACCGAAGTTCCTGACCAAAGATCAGCTTTGCTGGAGTGCATCCAGTGGTTTCATGCTCTGCTGTTCTATAGGCCATCAACAATGGAGGGAGTAAGACATCCCAGTCATCTTGGCAGCTGTTACAAAACTTTGCTAATTCCTGTCCCAATGTCCAATTGTACTTTTCTACCATCCCATCGGACTGTGGGTGAAGTGGCGTCGTCCTGGTCTTTCGTATGCCAAATAACTTGCAGCATTCATGAAACACAGCTGATTCAAAGTTACTGCCTTGATCTGAATGCAATTCGTATGGCATACCAATTAGTGAAGAAATCACTAATAGCAGAAGCTACAGTTGTAGCTTCCTGATTTTGTATTGCATATGCCTTAGGCCACTTGGTAAAGTAATCCATCACCACACAAATGTACTGTTTTCAGTACGAATTCGGGGCAATGGACCAGCAATGTCAATGGCTACTCTTTCCATTGGTGCACCAACTTGATATAACGTCATTGGAGCACGTCCTTTATGCTTGGGTCCTCTTTTAGCACAACATGTACTGCATGTCTTGCACCATTCTTCGACATCTTGCCTCATGCCTATCCAATAAAATCTCTGCTGTAGGTGATTCAATGTCTTCTTAACTCCAAGATGTCCTCCTGTTAAAGTATCATGGGATTGACGCAGCACAACTTCCCATAACTTTCTCGGTATAACTGTTTGCCAGGTCGTCACTTTCCCATATGCAGTTTCCCATCTCCGGACAAGAATACCATCTTCAAGCTTCAGTTGGTCCACTTGTGCCCAATAGTTCTTTGTCACAGGCCTTAAGCTAGACACCTTCTCCCAAGCAGAGCGCAAAATATTTGCTTGTAGAAAATCAATTATTGGCTTCAATCTTGGTATTTCTCCTGTTCTGCTTTAATATTTATACTTGGTTCCATTTTACCATCATCAACTCTTTCAGTCACTTTGACTTCAGCTTGATGGTACCTGGTTAGTTCAACCTCTCTTTTGCAGCAATGTCTGCAGTCATTTGTGCAGGATCTTCGGCTCAGTCAGTCGGCATTTCCATGCGATTTTCCTTCTCTGTGTTCAATATCATAATTATACTGGTCTATCTTTCCGATCCAACGTGCCAGTTGTATCTCTGCGTTATTTAATGATATTGACCAGCGTAATGCAGCATGGTCTGTCCTGATGGCAAACCTGGCGTCATAGAGGTAAGGATGGAAATATGTCAGACTCTTTACTATAGCAGGGAGTTCCCTCCATGTTACACAATAGTTCCTCTCTGGTCTACTCAGGACCCTACTGAAGTAGGTCAGCACATGTTTGTTTTCGCCCACTTTCTAAGATAACACTCCTCCACTTCCGATATTACTAGCATCACAATCCAGTATGTACTGCAGTGAAGGATTTGGAAGCTTCAAAAGTAGAGCTGAGACCAATTTGTCTTTCAATGTTTTAAAAGCATGCTGGCAAGAAACTGTCCATTCAAGCTTATGTCATTTTTTTGGTCAAATTATGTAATAGAACATCTATAGTTGCAAAGTTCTTCACAAACTTCTGGTAATAGCGACAGAATCCCAAGAAACTTCTTAACTCTCCCACATTATCTGGTTGTTGGCCAATCACACGCTGC